CCAGGGACCTGTCAAAATCAAGGTACTCTGTGAAGTCTCCCTAAGCCCAAATACCAAAGGCACAGAAACTGGAAAGAGCCCGCGGGAACTATCACCAGGCCCAGAAACACCCCGTAGCTCTGGGCAGGGCTCCCCAGACCCGGGCACAAAAAACCTAGAGAGCCAAAGTCCAGTGGGGGAGACTGAAGTCACAGCCAGCGGCCCCGAGAGACACTGAGAAGCCTGGTGTACATCCATCCAGGCCTGGCTGCCACTATCAGAAACAACTTCACAGAGAGCCTTGCAGACTTCAGGCCAGTGTGGTCCCTGCAGGAAGTCAGGCCGCACTCATTCTCTGAGCCCTTCCTGCCCGTTTTCCTGGGCAGCCAACCCGTCTATGGTCCCTTCTTCCCGGGCACCTCCATGACCCACACCTCCACCCGATTGGCCCTGATTTTGGGAAGAGGCATCTTGACAACATCCTTTGAGAATTCCATCTCCCTTGCGGGCCTTTGTGATAAAGATCGAGATATGTGGTGTTTGGACAATAAACAGCTTTTCACCACAGACTGGGTAGATGAGGAAGGAGACTCATACACTGTGTCACCTCAGGTGGAGTTAGAAGATCCCTTTAGGCTTTCTGGACTAAAAAACTCATGTTCTCAAAATGAACTTAGTTCATGTACTGCCTTGTATACCAGAACATCCTAAAATACCTTATCCCGGAGAAGAGAAACCCATCCACCACAGAGCTGCAGGCCACTGGAGAAAGCTGTATTGTGCTAATGGCCACATTTTTCAACCAAACGCTTCAGCAGGCAGGCTCACTGTGCTGTCTGCACAGACCGTGTAGGGGGACTTGGCCGCCAGGTATATAAGTGCACCAGATGTAAACTCTTGGTTCACAAGAAGGGCCACACACTCATCACAGTTGAATATGGGCAGCATTCTTTACCATCAGACTCCCTGATGCCAGTCGATCCATCATCTGTGGCTTCAGACCCTGCACAGACAGCGACCCCACAGAACCTTACAACTCATGAGGCTTTAGAACAAGTTGATGAAGAGAATGAGGCAGAGAACAACAGGGAAAGTGACAAAGCTTCACCTAGTTTAGGTCTTCAGGACTTTGATTTGCTTCGTGTGATAGGCAGAGAGAGTTATGGGAAAGTACTGTTAGTCCAACTGAAAAAATCAGGTCGTGTGTATGCAATGAAAGCAGTGAAAAAAAGAGCTTGTCAACACTGATCGGGTACAGACAGAAAAGCACGTTTTACAGCAGGCCACTAATTATCCTTTTCTGTAGGACTGCATTCTTGCTTCCAGACAGAAAGCAGACTGTTGTTTGTTCTAGGCTATGTAAATGGTGGAGATCTGATGTTTCATCTGCAGCAACAAAGAATCCTTCCTGAAGAACATGCCAGGTTTTACTCTGCAGAAATCAGTTTAGCCTTCAACTATCTTCATCAGCGAGGGATACTGTATAGAAATTTGAAAGTGGACAATATTCTACTGGACTCAGAAGGGCACATTAGACTCACCGACCATTGCCTATGTAAGGAAGGCTTACAGCCCAGAGATGTGACCAGTGCTTTCTGTGGCACTCCTAATTACCTGGCTCCAGAAATTGTAAGAGGGGAAGATTATGGTTTCAGTGTGGACTGGTGGACTCTCGGAGTACTGATGTATGAGATGTTGATTGGAGAGTCTCCTTTTCATCTTGATGAGCTCTGATAACCCTGACTGAAACTCAAACAATAATCTCTATCGAGTCATTTTGGAAAGAGAAATTCGCATACCTCGGTGTCTGTCTGTAGAAGCTGCAAGTGTCCTGAAGAGTTTTCTGAGCAGGGACCCAAAGGAATGATGGGGTTGCCATCGTCAGAGGGGCTTTGCTGATGTTCAGGAGCATCCGTTCTTTCAAAATGTCGACTGGGACGTGATGGAGCGTAAGCAAGTAGTGCCTCCCTTCAAACCAAATATGTCTGAGGGATTCCGGTTGGACAACTTTGATTCTCAGTTTACTGAGGAACCTGTCCAGCTCACCCCAGATGATAATGACATCATGAGCAAAATGGAAGGATATGAATTTGCAGGTTTTGAGTATATCAGTCATCTTTCAATGTATGAAGAAGAGTGGGTCTGATCCTCATTTGTCAACTGTGCATTCTGCTTATTAGTATTTAATGCTTGGAAAAACTGGTTACCAGCCTGGATTCAATGAACCATTTCATAACTGTCTAGAAGCTAATTTTATTTTTTGTAGTTATATTTAGATTAATACTTGATTCTTACAGTCTATAATAAGGAATATTGAATGTTTTTGTTGATAAATGAAAACATTCCATTTGTTGAGTGGAGACAAAGTATAATACTTTTTCTAGTTATGTACTATACAGGAAAATAATTTGTCTTTTAAGTAGAATGTCTTACCTATGCTTATTGATCTCAAACCATATTACCTATACCTTTTGGACCCCAGTTTATGTAGTCTTCAGGGAATCCAAAAAATTATAACACTTTTAAATTAATCTGCAGAAAACCCATATATATTATAGTTCTATCTCCTTAGTTAAGTTTTTTTATTTAATAGGATAACACATGAAATACATAGTAGAATTCATTTCAGGGGCAAAGTTCTTCAAAATATTTTTATTGAAATTACTGGTCAGTAATTTATTATTTAAAGAGTTACCAGATCTATAGCATTCCTGTGCTAGTCCTATTTTTATGCAAAGGACTTGAAAAGTAACCATCATTTTCTAAATAGGTTATAATGATACAATCTGAGCAAAATTTAATTTTAGGTACACTAGTTTTAAATTTAGAATGATTTAAAATTTTGTAGGCATTTAATAAATTACCTTTTTATCTTGTTTGAGGTACCCCATTTCATTAGAAATGTAACTTTTCCAAAGCTTTTAGATTTATTACCTTTTCTTCAATTTTCAAGTTTGAAAGTAATAAAAACATAAAGGAAAATGTTTATAGACATGTGCTTATTCATTTGTGAGCCATATATATTTCTCTTAACGTCTGGAACTTGTTTTAAAGCAAAAAGCATTATCCACAGCATAAAATTAGAGAGAATTGTAACATATAAGAAATATGTTTGTTTTTTAAATTTTTATTTTATTTTTTTTTGGTACCAGGGATTGAACTTGGGACCTTGCGTTTCCGAGGCAGGCGCCGGAACCACTGAGCTAAATCCCCGGCCCTTTTCTTTTTAATTTAAAGTATAGATTTTTAAGTAGTAAGATTGACTTGCATATTTTACTCAGAACTACACTACAAATATGTTTTTAACTGTATTCTCTCTTTTTTTGCCATCTTTAAGTGTCACACTAGTTCTTTTCATATTATATAGTAGGGCTTTCAAAACATTCACCGGGAATAAGGCAGTTTACAGACAGAATGGTTGGGATTTTGGTGTTCTCGGAAATAATTTATTTTGCATAAGCCTGTGGTCAGATCATTTTATGCATATGAAGCCTGGATTAATTTCAAGCATCTTGTTCAGTGCCGGGACGTTTACTTTATAAATTTGTTTTGTTTTGATTTTTGTCATGTAGAATACTGCCTTGGTCATCATAATGTAATGTGTATTTGTGTGCCTTCTTTTTCATGTTAAAAATCTTTAAAATGTTTAATAAACATCAAATAAATAAAACATATTGAATTCCTTTAAAGTTATCAAAATATTTACCTATAAAACCTTTGACATCCTAGAGTTATCTCCTATTTTCTCATTTAATGGAGATTGCCCAAAATGCTTGTATTTGAGTGTCAATTTGCCTTCAAGTCAGGAAACAGTAATAGCAGGCCATATCTGTTCTTCTAAAGTTTGTCACAGAGTTGTGAGGAACACTTTTGATCCAGCTTTTTTGTCTCTGTAAGGTCTTAGGTGCTGAGACAAATACAAATTCTTCACCAAAATGAGACATTTGTATCTATATATCTGTCCCTAAATTACATTTGTCACTGGCTAGTATAGTAGCAGGTATTTT